CAGTATAAATATGAATGTCCTGTACTGTAACATCACTTGAGAATGAACCATGTTGGTTCAAAATGTTGTGTAAATTTTATAATCAGTGTAATACATTCTTCAGTTATTTATTTCTTTTTTTCTTCACCTCGACGAACGTGACTTTTGGAGAACTCCTCTTCCAATTAAACCCGGAAGCAAGAGCACTAGTCAGAGGGATAGAAGCCTTAAACCAGAAAATAATCAATACAGAATATGCAGTCATATTCAGTGAGACATGTATAAATGAAAACCTGCTGTCAGTATACACCGATATTATTATAAATACGCATTCTTCTTGTTTATATCACCACTTAAATTTGCGACAATTTGAGCAGAGATGTGCGACGACTGGATCACTGTGTTCAGGAGGCTGATACGCCAGCAAACACTCTCCAGGCAACCATATATCTTGCATAAGTCAATCAACAACATTGTCGCTTGGACCGTCGACTTCCTATGGCGTCACCTGCAACATATTTACTTTTAATTTCGTTATGAAATTAGATTATTTCAGAGTAAGAATAGGTTTGATCATGTTCTGCACTCAGCACCAACTTTATAGTAAATATACCATATTTCTTCATTACTTATGTAATGCTAGCTGGCTCTGAGTAGCTTGTGGTGACTTTGGGTAGCTTTGAGTAATTCTACAGATCACACTGTTGGTACAAATACAGTAGTGGCTACTTCAAGTTTAAGTGTGAAGAGAAAACTTGAAAACAAATAGCTAAGTCTTGGAGAGGATACGACCAGGGAATGCAGGAAGAAGAGGTAATGGTACTGTGGTCAAGACAGTAGAGGAAGGTAAACCATCTGAAGTAGCTGCAGTTGAGGAAAGCAGACTATATTCGGAGAAAGGAAAGGAAGGTATGTTCTGTGAAGTCACAAGTGGTGAATTTTTGTAATTGATGGGAAGTTAGTTCCCTTGAAATTGGACACTGGTGCTGCAGTGTCAACACTGTCTAGAGACAGCGTTGACAGTGCCAATTATGGCACTGTCAATTATTGTCAATTATTGGAGACAGTGCCAATTATGTTACAGCCCTACTGGGTCGCAACCGGGTTCTTTTCTGGTGTTATAAGAATTCGGGAATCCGGCCCCAAGTTAGTAGAGGCTTTCAAGGGATGTGTTCCGTAACGCAAGTTAAATTGAAGGGGGAGGGATACAAATGTTCTGATATATATAAAATTACACCACCACCATAAATAAATATATAACAGTCACATGGGAGTTATAAATACACTCTAAAGTACAGAATTGTCTTCCTCTGAAGACACAGGATGCTCCACGGTGCTCACGATGAGTAGCTCTGGTTCTCTTCTTCGGCCCACGATGAATCCTCTTTGATTCTCTCGGCGAATCTACCCTGGCCACAGGCCAGCCAAATCACAGTCCCACTGGGTGCTCCGTCGTGGAGGCCTTCAACCACAATCCAGCCTGTAGCTGACAGGTTCCAATCAGCTTCGCTGTGTAGGCCACTCCACGACCGATACTAGGGTTGCGAGCCCTAGGCAGGAGCCTTGTGTGATTCCGCTGATCACTCTCCTCTCTCAGTACCACAGTGGCTAGTCTCTTCCACCAGCCAGCCCCGGATAAGGCGATTCCTGATACTGCCACGTCACAGGCAGGCTAACACTCTCAACAGTGTTCGTCCGGGGGTGACTCACAGCTTCTTCAGAGCAAACTCGTGGAGAGACTTTGGCTGCCTTGGGTAGACTGATTCATCGTCCAATACAGCAGTCCCAGGTCGACTCTGTAATCAGACACGTCATTAGTACTGGGACTAGGGAACCTCACTTACAGGCTTAGACACAAACATCCACCTATCCACTCCATAGATGGCGTTGCAGTCTAAGCGCCACCTCACCAGAGGTCAGCAGCGGCTATGTTACGAGCTGATTAAGACGGGAATCCAGCACCTGTGGCCGGTATATCCCGTCCTCACCAGATGGCGTCGTCCATTTAGAGGGGGTTTCAGGAGCGGACCCACAGATGGCATTGTCGTCACAGCTCCGTGTTACGACGCTGGACTCGGGTCCGTAACAGTGGGCAGATACGTTACAATTAAATGTTAAAATGTGGAAAATCATTAAGTGCATACGATAATGCCAATTATCGTATCGTATATGTTAGAGCCAATTCCACATAGTGAATGGGCATCCCCAATTGTACCAGTGTTGAAGGCAGACCGCAAAATCCATGATAATCTGTGCAGATATTTAAAGAATTAAATAACCTAATCCATTGTAAAAATACCCATTACCAAAAATAGATGAGTTGTACCTGGGTTGCAAGGGGAACAAAATTTTCTAAGACTGACCTGAAATATGCCTACTTGCAAACTCCTGTAGATGCAGAGTCAGAAATTGATAGTTATTCATTTTCATAAGGAGTTATTTAAGTGTAAAAGTCCCTTTTGGACTCTCCTCGTCTCCAGAAATTTTTCAGTGATTCATGTCCCATTTGTTAGTAAACATTGAGGGTGTTGCTAGCTTTTTAGATGACATTATTGTATGCGGGGAGAATGAGGAAGAGTATGATACAAGATTAGAAAAGGTTTTGAATCTTCTGCAAGAGCACAATGTGAAGATTAATGCGGGTGAAACAGCAATGAAGACCAATGTCATTGAATACCTGGGGTACCATATTTCAGGTAAGGGCTTTACTCCTCACAAAAACGTATTTACTATATAGCCCCCCCCCCCCAGCCCCAACATCAGTGGGGAAGTACAGTCTTTTGAAGGCATGGTGACATACTTTTTGTAAGTTCGTGAAGAACTTTTCAACAAAATTAGCTGACTTGTATAAATTATTGAAAAAAGGGGCTAGAGTTAGGTGGGCAGCGAATGAGAAGGATTTCAGGAATATTAAGCAGGAATTGATAAATTCTCCAGTGCTCACTAATTTTACTGGTAAACTTCCTTTAAAACTGGAGATTGATGCTTGCCCAGTACGAGTGGGCTGAGTATTATTACAGGAAGTAGATGCCAGGAAAAAGCAGTCTGTTTTGCTAGCAAGAAATTATCTCATGCAGAGAAGAATTATTACCAATTAGACAAAGAAGCCTTAGATTTGGTATATGCTGTAAAAAAAACTGAGGTATTTTCTGATGGGTAGGAAATGTCTTGCTAGAACAGACTTCTAGAACAGAACAGAAGGCTAGAACAGAAAAAAATCCTAACCCCTGTTAAGATTGTTTGGTAGAGGTAAACAAATTCTTGTTAATGATAATACTAGAATTCAACTATGGGCATTGCTACTTTCACAGTTTGAGTATGATTTGGTATTAAAGTCGGGCAAGGATAATGTAGTGGCTGAGCATTAAGTAGATTGCCTGTTACAGAAGAGTTTAATTCCAGTATTCCAGTGGAGTATGTTAACCTGGTGAAAACTATGTCTTTTGAGGATATTTCATTCCAGACTATTAGGACGGCAACTGGTAGGGATCCCAAATTAAATCTGTTGAGGAAGAATCTCAAATATGGCTGGAATGATAATTTATTATTGTCAGAGTATGCTGCGGTAAAGGCTGACCTTAGTATTCACCAGGATATACTCTTATATGGGAATAGAATGGGGGTTCCTCTGGAACTTAGATGTAAGATTTTGGAACATTTAGGCCACAATGGCATAAATGCTATGAAAGAAGAAGCTAGAAGTTGGGTTTGGTGGCCAAAAATGGACCAAGATATTGCTGAAGTTACTAAAAATTGACACATTTGCTTTAAGAATTATCAGAAACCCCAGGCCCCAGTACTTTCCTGGCCATACACTGGGAAACCCTGGTCTAGACTTCATATAGATTATGCTGGACCTATGGATAACAAATATTACCTGGTGGTGGTGGATTCATACACAAAATTTATGGATGTTCATGTGTGTAATTCCATGACATCATCTGTAACTTGTGAATTGCTCAGGAAAACATTTTATAATTTTGGATTGACAGACATGGTTGTGTCAGATAATGCTTCTTATTTTGTTTCTGAGGAAATGGAGGATTTTTTTTAGAAAGATTGGTATTAAACCTGTAACACCTGCCCTCTATAATCCTTCTTCAAATGGTCTGGCTGAGAGAGCAGTGAGAGCCTTAAAAGAAGAGTTACAGCGATTTACAGAAGCCACTATTAGTACAAGGCTTTGAAGATTTTTGCATTATCAAAGAAAAGCTGTTCATTCTGTCACTGGTAAATCTCCTTCTGAATTACTGTTTAATAGGTTCTTCAACGTGCACATGGTAGCAGTAAAGACAGATCTAGATCAAGAAAAATCTGTAACTAGCTCGGCCAATTAGTTGGCTCAGGGAGAAGAAGTTTTGTTTAAAGAGGAAGATGCAGTATATGCAAGGAATTTTGTAATGGGTAATGGGTGACCCATGCAAAGGGTCACTGGGAATTTTGAGGTCCCATTGGGTGTGGATGAGGCAAATAGGGATGCTGAAGCTAATAATGAAGGGGTAACACCTGCAGGAGACAGGAAGGCAGAGCAAGGCTCAACAGGGGTAATGTGGATACAGATAATGCTAGGGACTCTGCTGTTAGTAACTCAGAAGAAGGTTCTCCAGATGTAACGGGCCCAAGAGTCCCAGTTGAGAAAATCTGGAAGAGTCATACAACCGCCTGATAGACTTAACCTGTAGGCGGTTTAATTCAGAGGGGAGGAATGTTAAGGTATTTTGTAGGATTAAGTTAGGTGCCGTTATTTTGTAGGACTCGCCTACTCAGTGAGTAGGTACATAGGTGAGGTGCATAATGTTTCCAGCAGATGCTCTTTTATAAGTATTGTAAATAGTAAGTCATGTAACCTATAACCGGTGAATACTCTCTCTTTCGGTGTGGGTGTGTCAGTATAATCAAAATAAGGAGTACCAACATGTCGAAAAGCGTCTTCTACAGTCAATACATTGTTAAATTTCACATCATAAAGTTTGTGAGACACTATTACATTACATAAAAATATATAATTTTAACAATCGTACCTAATACAAGTGATCACATCCTCGTTGTTTTGATCAGTCCGGAAGTCGGTGGAATGTGAGTCCAGTCTCCTCCTGCAAGAAGAAATATTCACATTAATTTTGGGAAAATCAGTGAGTGATGCTACAGAAATAAGGAACGGAGGACAACATTGTATAACAGCTTAAGTTTTCTGCCTATTGACATCATCTTGTTAGATGTTGAGAGTCATTCACTAATGACCTGCTGGAAGATATAAAATATCTAGTTATAGTCAGCTCTCACCGGCAGCAAACCATTCAAAAACCCAAAAGAAATTTATGGATGAATTTCTAGAGCTAATGCCCGCCAAACACACACCGAAACTACGACGTTGGTACAACGTTCGAACAGGGATTTACAGGGAAATTTTGCTTTTACCAAGATGTCGTTTAAGGATTTACCTCGTTTCTAAGCTACCATCTTGAGGTTGTCCTGAGATGATTCCAGGGCTTAGTATCCCTGCGGCCCGGTCCTCGATCAGGCCTCCTTTTTGTTACACACCCCCAGGAAGCAGCTGTCTAACTCCCAGGTACCTATTTACTGCTAGGTGAACAGGGGCATCAGGGTGAAGATACTTTTTGCACATTTGTTTCTGCCTCCACCTGGGATCGAACCCGGAACCTCAGGACTAAGGATCCGAAGAGCTGTCCACTCAGCTGTCAGGCACCATGGATATTTCTTGTAGGAATTTCTTCCATGCTTGATGATTTCCGTGTGGCCTCCTTAGATATCCCCAGAGGTTAAGGAGTTATCTCCGGAGCTGCCCGGCCATTCTTGGAATATAGAGGGATGAGAGGATTAGCCTCTCCTTAGTTGGCTGTTGTTCCCTGTGTTGTAACAATGAAGATCTGGTTCTTTGTGCTAACTTTATAACTGCATCTTGTAGGATTTTACCAGAGTATTCTCTGTGTCTGAAAAAATCCCAGAGACGCTTGAGGACCCCCCCCCCCCAGTCTCTCCCCATCGCTATTTGTTTTAGTGAGGTTCCCAGGGAGTAGGGCAGGACCTTGTTAATGACAGTGGCTGGCATGACGAGTAGTGGAGATGTGAGTGAGTGTTCGTTGGTTTGTAAAAGATTCTTGTTTGAATCATCCTGGGTTTGTCGAAATAAACGTGTCCAAAACGTTCAGTGCTGTTTCACTAATTTCTAGGGTGAAACGGAGCTTAAGTTGGACTCCATTTGTCCAGGAGAAGAAAGCTGTGAGATCGTGTTCGCCTCCCATCATTACTCCAAAACTATCATCTATGTAGCGCCGGTAGATCCGCCGCTGGTCTGTACTCTTGCCTGGCCGCTTCACATGTTGTGTGTGTACAAATATTTCCGCGTTGGCTACGCTGCTAGATGCCCCAGTCACCATCCCTTTAATTTGTGTGTAGGTCTTCCCGTGGAAAGTCCTGATGGTGTCTCTTATGATATGTAGTATTGCCTCTTGTAGGAGCTCTATGGTCGGGGCTTCCAGAGACCTGCCTCCTGAAGTTCGTGCAGGATCTTGTGGCCATGTCAAAAAATGTCGCCACTTGCCATGCTGCTTCTCGTTGCGGAATACTTGGGTACAAGGATAGTGCATCAAGCGAAAATACACATATTTCTTGAGGCAAAAGGTCGCTATAGTTCCGCAAGCATTCAAGGAAGTCAGTAGTATCCTTTAGTCGTTCCGGGAGAAGGTTTAATAGCTGTGTGAGTAGCTCGGTACAGATGAGGTTAACAGGTTTTGTTGGTGCTTGGCAGCCCCTCAACACTGGTCAGTCTGGCCATGAGCCTGTTCTAACCTGTCTTTATGGATTTTTGGGAGGCTGTACAGAGCCGTAACTTTCGATGGAAAGTTAAGAAAAATTATGTCGTCTCTGCTGTGAGACACCTTCCTACTCCCTGGGACTCCGACTGAAAATATAGTCAGTGATGGCGAGAGACTAGAGGGTATTCTTTAGTGTCTAGGGGATTTTTTCAGACACAGTGGATACCCAATAAAATCCTACAAGATACATATAGAAAGTTTGCACAACGAACCAGATGTTCATTACTACAACACAGGGAACAACAGCCAACTAAGGAGGGGCTAATCGTCCCATCCCTCTATTTTCCAGGAACTGCAGGGCAGCTCCGGAGATAACTCATTAACTGCTGGGGATATCTAAGGAGGCCACACGGAAATCATCCATCATGGAAGAAATTCCCACAAGAAATATCCATGGTAGCTTGGTGTGGAGTTAAATCCTTAAATGACATCTTCGTGAAGTCAAAATCTATCAAACCCAGACACACACCATAGGGTCAAGGAGACCCTCCAATATAACGAACCTTCCAATTGTATAAATTGCTTGACAACACTGCACTGACTGCGAGTTCTCTGGGATTTGTTTACATACTTCCAGTCGGAGGCAGTTTGGGTGTGGTGACAAAGTTAGAGACGTCGGAGATCATCCTGGGTTATAAAACGCCTTCCTTGTTACGAAACCCGACCGCTCAGTGGGTCAAGTTCCCGGTCGCCGCGATGTGACACATCCTCAGCACATCATCCTCACCATCACGGCGAATCCGTCTACATACGAGGCCAGCTCCTGGACCCCATTCATGCTGGGAGTCTCGGCCTAAACTATTCTTAGTTCGAGGCCTTCTCACAAGTGTCAAAGTGGAAACAAGCCCAGGTAAGAACGGGAGCACAGACAGGATGTCCGCCCCTTCTCGTGCTCAGAAGTGAAGGGACGAGTGGCTGCCAGTCGGCGTCTTCTGGGTGTGACGTCACCGTCTTGCAGGATGCTGACTAGTCCACACCGCCTTCTCTTGCTCAGTTTATACTCTCAAGCTCCTAGCATTTCCTGGGGCATCCCCACCTCGTCCAGGAAGAGGTACATCAACTTCTGAGCCTTCCTCCTCCTCCTCCTCACAGTATGTCCTTAACTAGTCGTGAATCTAATTAGTCTTTATCTTCTTAACACGTGAAGGCAGCCGAGGCTACGACCACTCACGTGAAGGCAGCCGAGGCCACGACCACTCACGTGAAGGCAGCCGAGGCTCACGTGAAGGCAGCCGAGGCCACGTCCACTCACGTGAAGGCAGCCGAGGCCACGTCCACTCACGTGAAGGCAGCCGAGGCCACGTCCACTCACGTGAAGGCAGCCGAGGCCACGTCCACTCACGTGAAGGCAGCCGAGGCCACGTCCACTCACGTGAAGGCAGCCGAGGCCACGTCCACTCACGTGAAGGCAGCCGAGGCTCGTCCACTCACGTGAAGGCAGCCGAGGCCACGTCCACTCACGTGAAGGCAGCCGAGGCCACGTCCACTCACGTGAAGGCAGCCGAGGCCACGACCACTCACGTGAAGGCAGCCGAGGCCACGTCCACTCACTATATAGGATTCTGGCTTTACAGCTAGCGCCCTTTTAACAGGTCAAGACGAGGATGCATAGACTTTGTGCACCAGTTACTGGGTGATGGAAGCTACCTCAAAGAGGATAATTTGGTGTCTACACCCTAGTTATACCTGGTGGACTAGCCTGCTGTACTATAAGATAAGGAACCTCTTCAATGTATGTAGTTAATTCTGTAGTTAGATTGGCTGCATATATATAAATATAAACCCCCCTAATGTGTAGAGGATCGATTTGTGAGATTATGAGATTATTGCAGAAATACAGTCCACATATCATTATACAAATTGCTATCGAAGTATATAAATTAACGTAAATATAAATTCATATAAATTAAATAAATATAAATCTCACAGGTCGGTTCCCACACTCACGTGAAGGAAGCCGAGGCCACGACCACTCACGTGAAGGCAGCCGAGGCCACGACCACTCACGTGAAGGCAGCCGAGGCCACGACCACTCACGTGAAGGAAGCCGAGGCCACGTCCACTCACGTGAAGGCAGCCGAGGCCACGACCACTCACGTGAAGGCAGCCGAGGCCACGATCACTCACGTGAAGGCAGCCGAGGCCACGACCACTCACGTGAAGGCAGCCAAGCCACGTCCACTCACGTGAAGGCAGCCGAGGCCACGACCACTCACGTGAAGGCAGCCGAGGCCACGTCCGCTCACGTGAAGGCAGCCGAGGCCACGTCCACTCACGTGAAGGCAGCCGAGGCTACGACCACTCACGTGAAGGCAGCCGAGGCCACGTCCACTCACGTGAAGGCAGCCGAGGCCACGACCACTCACGTGAAGGCAGCCGAGGCCACGTCCACTCACGTGAAGGCAGCCGAGGCCACGACCACTCACGTGAAGGCAGCCGAGGCCACGTCCACTCACGTGAAGGCAGCCGAGGCCACGACCACTCACGTGAAGGCAGCCGAGGCCACGACCACTCACGTGAAGGCAGCCGAGGCCACGTCCACTCACGTGAAGGCAGCCGAGGCCACGACCACTCACGTGAAGGCAGCCGAGGCCACGTCCGCTCACGTGAAGGCAGCCGAGGCCACGACCACTCACGTGAAGGACGCCGAGGCCACGACCACTCACGTGAAGGCAGCCGAGGCCACGACCACTCACTGTCGGAAAATCCGACACCATTTAACAATAATATCATACAGACAGATAAGAGCTGTGTTGTATAAACAAGTTACCCATAGAAAACGTAACTTGTAGTGGAATTACCGTCTATAGAAAACGGGATATCATCACCACATACTATTATAATTCACCAGCTATTCTGCTGGGAATTGTTCTTAAATACATTAGTCTTTGGACTTTACCATCATAAAACATCTTATATAAATTAACTTAATTATCAATATTAAAGTAGAGTAAATGTGACCCTTCTATCACTTTCTGACATGTGGACAATGTAAGCCAGGCGTCAGAGTGAGGAAGGAGGGCAGCCATTGTTTTGTACGAGACCAGAGGCTCACACGGGAGCAAATTCGGCTCCTGTTAATTTTACTTGGACGTAGTGTTATGGAAACCAAAGGTGTACCATTTTCAACACGCTGTCTACAAATTCAAGTTAAGTGTTCTTTCCGAAACCCATGTATCTTCATTTATGGCCATTAATGTCATTATATAGGGTGACCTGGTTAGAGCACGTGGAAACCTCAAACTAAAGGTAATTAAGC